TAAACCCTCCGGCACAAAGCTTGATTATGCACCACAGGGCTTCTCCAAATCCTTCCGGATGGGCGTAATTCTCCAGCACTCGAATAGGGAGACCCGAGCGGACAAAAAGAACAACTCCACCACTGCGACGTGACGATGATCGATCCGTTCGAAACACTGTATCCGTGGAGTGATATTTCGGAGTCCCGGACATCTGGTGTCAGCCAGGTTTCAGTGCTTGCAAAAAGATCGGGATTGTGGGATACAACCCAGTCCTTCAGCTCATCCCTTTTTCCCAGCATCCCTCGGATATTGGTTGAGGCTAGCACAGCGTGGTTACCTCACCATTCGCGCCTCAAGCTAATCCCCCCGTCCGTGGTTTGTAAGGATGAGTTGCACTATAACGTCATTTAAGTAATTTGATTTGATGTATGTGATCACGTCATTACCGTACCCGCTTTAGCATTGGGAGGTTCAATCTTTCAGTGAAGTCGATGGCTACTGCTGATATTACCCACAAGGAGTATGACTGACCTATAGTGAACATTTATTTGGTTCTGTATTGAATGCGTTTCGTTAAAAAATGCACTCGTACACTGTAAGGCTTTACCTTGTTACTACTTTTAGTTTTTCACTGATTTTAATCCTTTTTTCACCGACCGACTACTGATTGGGTCCACGGTCAATATAATCAAAATCCGTAACCAGAAATGGAAAGTTAAATGTTGTACATGTCAAAATTGAAACTGAAGTGAAACCAACCGCTGGAACAAACTGGAGTAACTCATAATGAAGTGTGTGAAACCTAAGACCATATACGTCCTCGGGTTTGTGCCAGCAGAAGCTCTGCTGTGATAATTATTAACTAAACCGATAATTCTGCTTCATGTTTTACCGGTACAGGTGACATGTTGACATGGCATAATGAATTAACTCTTTTAAAATGTGAAACAAGCAGTGGTCTCGGTGGGATTTAGAACTCCCGCATGGATGCTGTCTAGGGTTTTGTACGACGCACACCTTACCGTCGAGACTGCTGACTATTTTCACAATTTAGAACAAGACGACTGTTTTCGTTTATTCACCAGCCAACATAATTTGAACAAATCAATTTCTGACCTTTCGCTATCCCATCTTAATAACAAGTTTTCCAATCTGTTTACCGTTTCCTAGAAAACCATCTTTTGTGATTCACTTCAAAAATGCACAAATGTCCAGATGTTTTATTAATCTAAACAATAGGAAAAGAAATCTGGATAAAACCATAAAAGAAAGGAGTGCATTTCTTTAAAAGTACAGATTTTTAACTCAGGGTAATTCGAAATGTGACAAGCAATAATCAAGCATGAAAATAAAAGTGCTAAAGGCAAATAAACAAATGTTCAGTGAATGTGTATAATACCAGTTCGATTAATCCACACGAGGTTTAGCTGATGGAGGTAATGGAGGTAATTGATCCAGATTTGCGCTTTCTTTTCCGATCGAACTTGTTCTGGGTCTGTGTGATGCATAGATACGATAGTTTGACCCAACTGGGGAGAGTGTCAGAGCCAATTCGGCCAAGTTATACAAATATGTGATCTGTTTCGATTCGACGGATAGCACACGTTTTAGAAATGCATCCGTGGTTTCTGGTTCCGATTTCGTATGAATCAATAGTTGTTTCGCTCCAGATATGTTCGATTTTCTGCATGGTTCGAAAATAGAACTTGATTTACTCGGCATTGAGGACGCTCTTTCCAGCTCACGCTGTGGTCTGAAACCAAGACCTCTGCTTCGTGGTGTGTAGTTTGACCGAGGCACAGTTCGTGTTCTGCTTTTCACTGTTCCATCGTAATGATATGACTGCGGAAGATGCCAAACAGTGCCAACGGGCAACAATTTGATTGAGGGTTTTGCGGGTGCACGCTCGTCAACTGGGCCTGGGGCAGTAGTACACAGTGATGAATATCTTTTTTGTAAACTTTCTTGAAACGAGCGTAGAAATTTTTTGCTATTGAGCACTACCCGTGGACAACCGATAAGCTCTTTTATTTGTTTCTTAACCAGGTAGGCATGACGAGCCAATTCCTTGCTCACAAAACTACGATAACAGAGCTCAGTTGCATCAAATTCCTGGTATTTTTGGAATAGTTGACGAAAATTGGAACCTTTGATTGAACTGTCACACGGTGTCCACGAATGGTGATAGAAATCCACATCCTCCCATTGGGAAAATGCTTGAATACGACGAAAATATCGCTGAGGTTTTGGTTCAGGGCCCCAGTCTAGGGCACGATAATTCGGATGAGATATGTCGGGGAAAGAAAAATCTGTTCCACGACGCTAAATAGCAAGAAAAGAAATGGAAAACAATACAGTAAGCTCAAATGAAAGGGAGAGAACATCGCCCATGGATTGAACACAATCCAAGGATGTGTGCAAATCAATAAAGTCCCAGGTGAGTGGTTCGGTATCAGATAAAGCTATCTGAGAAAACAAAACAAAACAAGAACTCATCATTTGTTCGCAGATTGGATGGGTGATCGAAAGACAGCAACCAGTACCGGCACACAAAGTACAGTGATAACGGTTAAGTAAAATGAAAGATGTAACAGTACACTTACGACGAAATGAGATTTTCTGCCGGTCCTCTGGTCCATAGTGACGTGCTCTATTGAATAGATAATTAAGTTTTCTGACTTAACTCAGCATAAGTTTCTAGTTTTTGTCAATGATGAATCAAAAGAAGTCAGAAGCAAAAAAAGTAACCCATCTGACATCAAGGAAGGTTGTAGTTTTCTTTCTAGATTGTACAATCAACATACCAGCAATTTAATTTGCTGATTTTGGCTACTGAAATTTCGATCCCCATTAGGCTGATCAATAAGGAACGGAGTACAATAAAATAAAACCAGAGAGCGGGATAAAGAGACGCAGTGAACGCATAACTGATAAATTGTCGTTCTCATCCATACACGCTCTGAATTCCGCCAAATGTCATCTCGAACAGACGTTTACCGAAATTCACCTATACCCTACGTTACACATTTACTCGCAAACAAAGAAAGTGAACCTTGTCTTCATTTTGGACGGTGAAGTGTCCCCATACTGTTTGTAAACATCTCCCCCCCCCGTTAAATGTTATTCCTGTGATGGTTGGCATGTGTAGTTTTTTAATGAAAATTTGAGCTTTAGTGCTTGGAACAGTTACACACAATCCAATCCAATCCAGTCCAATCCAATTTGGTGTACGAGTAAACTAGCTGTATAGAGAAAGTCATCAGCCCGATGTATACCTGTGCCACTGTTTACGAAACTCGATCATATCACCCAGTGTCTTAAACCATTCAACCGAATGGTTTCAAGGTTCCCGAAGCGGCAGTCTAATGTGATTGATATGGCCAAATGCACTAACCCAGCTAGGTCTTATTGGTTGTGTCAATGCCTATGGATTGTGCTCGATTAATGATTTCTTGATTGCTCAATTATTAAATGAGAATACAGCACGACCGAACACGGAACTTTATTTCCAGTTAAATTAGCAATCGACATGTTATATAGCGTGCACAGAAAAGCATGGACACATGAGGGGTTTTTCACTAATTGCATAGTGCGGTGTTTGACGTGGAGCACAATATGCCGTCAGCAGATTGGTTGGTAGGGTGGTATGAAAGTTCGAAGTGATGTGAGATGAAGNATGAAGATGATTGGGTCACGGATGCATGTAACATAACTGCACTAATGTGCCATACTCACTTACCCGCAGGTTGAAAGCATGATTGGTATCGTTCTGTTAACGTATTCTCAGGGAGGTTCATGATTCTCTTACTTCCATGCCTTCAAATCAACCGATAGTTTGGCTAACCCGTATCAGATTTCTGATCACTACCTGTCTTAACAAACATTAAACGCCGAGAAAGCCTACATGGTGACATGTGTAACATCACAACCACCTCAATCTGTAGAGATTCAACATGTGAACGAGTGTGTGTTTGTCACGATTATATATATATATATATATATATATATATATATATATATATATATATAT